ATGCTAGTGCTTCCTAGAGAATAATAACCACGTGTGTAAAGACAGGTGCAAAGGGGAACAGCAAGAATGTCAGCATAACTACAGCATATTTTGCATAGAAGAAAGTGGCATAAAATTAAGGTGGAAACATGCATTAGTCCAGATTATGGAACAGCCTCAAAACTTTGGGTATCAGTTCCTCTGAGGGGCCTGGAGCCAGCAGAAGGTTGCAGGAAGGGGAGCCCCATATAGCTATAGTTATAGTCCCAGGACCTATGTGCAGGTCAGGCCCTGCACAGGGGCTTCTCCCTGGGGATGGAACTCCAGACCAAGCCATTCCCCCTGTTCTGTGGCTGCTTCAGTGGGAAGAAAAGGATCTTTTCTGTAATTCTCCATGCACTCCCCAGAGGAGGAGCCCTTTTCCAGGTTTTCCACCTGAGAGGATGCCTTCCTTATTGACTAGCAGTGGCTCTGAGTAGAGTGACAATCAGATGGATTTTCAGGACCACTTCTTTGGCCATGGCGTAGAAGATGACCTAGAATGAGGAGACAGTGAACAGAATAGCTATCAACATACAAGAACAGATGAAAAGTAGCAGCCAAGAAGGAAGAGGCCAGACCCAGGAGCAAACTCTGTAGTAGAATTAACATTGGGCATCTTAGGGATGTAGGGATGGCAGAAAAGGGAAACCTTGAAGATGATTTGGATTGTTCTCTGCTGTGTTCCTAGACCTGCCCACAATTAATGTTCAATTAATATTCATCAAAGGAATTAAAAATATAGAGCTACAAGCAACAAAAATATTCTCAGAAGAAAGATATTGTCTGCCTGGATGGAACTCTCTACTCATAGGAAGCAGTACCTCCAATAAGCTTCCTAATTTGAATGAGTTGTAGAGCTCAGAGCAGTCATCTAGAAATTTAGAGTTGTTCCTGTGCAGTGGGTCTGAGCCTTTCCTGAACATTCAGATCACCTGAGAAGCTTTTAAAAATCCCAAATGCCCAAACTGGACCAATTAATGCAGTAACTCTGGGAGTGGACCCCAGGCATCAATATTTTTTAAGTTCCTAAGGTGATTCTAATATATATAGTCAACTGCTCCCACAGAACTTTGCAATATAAGATTTCTAGACGCAGCCATGAATACAGCATAGACAAGAGCTAGGTCAGGGACAGGGTAGAATGATTTAACATTTGACCATCTCATCACAATGAATCCTCCATTTCTTAGGAAATCTTTTTACATGGTGACCAGTTCTTCAAAATTAATTCCTTCAAAAGATGAAAAAATTAAAGAAATCTAGTGCATTGCTTCACTGATTTTAGAAAACTGAATCATGGGCAAAATGTAGTACAATATAAAGCCGTTTTTTAAAATAATAATTTTAAAAGTAAATAACGTACAGACTTGGAAATTATTTTAAGACCCTCCCTCATCTGCTGCTAAGGTTAAATGTGTTCCAGGTGTCAGGAAGATCAAATACAATAGAAAAATAAAAGGAAAAGTTTAAAAACAATTTAAGAGTCAGAATAAGGATATTTTTGTACAGAGTAGAAGAGTTGTTCTCATTCTGTCATTTGTAACAAAATTGAGCAGGCAAAGTAATTTAAGTCTCACCATTCTTGACAGGAAGGCAAAGAATATTGCTAGTCAAAGAGTGGTGCAATGACCCATCCCAGGCCAGGGCTGTTTTTTACCAATCCACAACAGATAAGAATTTGAGAATAATTATTTAGAAACTTTTCTAACAACTGAATAATCTCTGTTGAATCAGATACCAAAATACTGAGGCTTCTATTTTGTATATCATTGTGTATTTTTTTCACTTTTCCAATAATTAATTTTTATATTTTATAAAAATGTAAGTCTATAGCAGTTACCAAAAGAGAGGGGTGGGGGAGGGGAAGTGAGGAGAGAGAGAGAAGGGGATTGAGGGGCATTATGATTGGCACACATGGTGTAGGGGCGTCACGGGGAAGACAGTGCAGCACAAGTAGTGACTCTGTGGTATCTTACTACAGTGACGGACAGTGACTGCAATGGGGTGTGGGGGGGCTTGATAATATTGGTGAATGTAGTAACCACATTTGTTTTCATGTGAAACCTTCGTAAGACTGTGTATCAATGAGACCTTAATAAAAATAAATAAATAATAAAATAAAATAAAATAAAATAAGTAAGTCCACGGCAAGTTAGAACTTTTTAAAACTTGATCTTTCACCACAGATTGTTTGGGAAGCTACAGGACCATTATGACAGTGGGACATCAATGCAGAGGTGCACACAGAAGGAAAAAGTGAACATAGACAAGTTAATTGTTACCTTACCCACTTTGAATTTATATTTTAAAGGCCTATTTCATTGTACCTTATATCGTTGTTATTAAAAATTATTTTTTGTTATAAACTTACATGCCTTGCTAGAATCTCTTTAAAAGGAAATAGCTTGTGTAAGAAAACAGGTGGCAAAGGATTGGCTTAGCAGTACTAGCTCATTTTCTAAGAGGAACCACGATGTCAGATAACTCGGGGAAGTTATTAATTCCTGTTGGGAAAGGGAGTTATCTCCTTTTTAAGAAGAAATTAGATCACTCCCTTCTGATTTGAAACAGCTAATATAGTATTCCAATGTATTAATGTAGAGACACCCTTGTTTACATAGGAGGAAGCCTGCACTGAAAGGTTAATTTTCCCAAGATCATGGTGATCAGGATTCCAACCCAAGATACTATACTCTTAACAATGAATTACTGAGCAATTATTCGGTTGTCTTATCCAGACAATGCCAAGAAATGCAAATTTTTTTTTGTCTTAGGTATATTTATTTAATGGTCATTTTAATTAGACTGACATAGTTGCAATATTGTTTTTTTTGAGAGGGCATCTCTCATATGTATTGATCAAATGGTTGTTAACAACAATAAAATTCTGTATAGGGGACTCAATGCACAATCATTAATCAACCCCAAGCCTAATTCTCAACAGTCTCCAATCTTCTGAAGCATAACGAACAAGTTCTTACATGGTGAACAAGTTCTTACATAGTGAATAAGTTCTTACATGGTGAACAGTGCAAGGGCAGTCATATCACAGAAACTTTCGGTTTTGATCACGCATCATGGACTATAAACAATCAAGTCAGATATGATTATTCATTTGATTTTTATACTTGATTTATATGTGAATCCCACATTTCTCCCTTATTTTTTTTTAAAAAAATGCTGAAGTGGTAGGTAGATGCAAGATAAAGGTAGAAAACATAATTTAGTGCTGTAAGAGGGCAAATGTAGATGATCAGGTGTGTGCCTATAGACTAAGTATTAATCCAAGCTAGACAAGGGCAGCAAAACATCCTCAGATGCAGAAGAAGGATATGCAAATTTTAAATATACAGACATTTTTTTTAGTCTATGTTTTGGCATTGTTTAGTTTTAGCTTGAACATATAGCATTTTACTCAGCTCCATCATTCTTCACTATAGATATTAAAATATATAATCTAGGAGTTTTTTTGCCATACTCTAAAACATTCTTAAACATATTTTATGTTTATGCCAGTGACTTTTTAAGGCAGATGGTGAATAATCCCTCAATGCTTAGCACCACTGATTAAAAGTTAATCTTTGATAAAAGAACCATGCTGTGGATCCTGAAATCAGCTGGTTAGGTGTAATGGGTGTGGCCACTTCAATAACAGGAATAATCTAGGTTTTTCGAAAAGCTCATGGGTGAAATGGGTGAAGGTGATTGAAAGATACAAACTTCCAGTTACGAGATACATAAGTCCTGGGGGTGTAACACACACCACGGAGACTATAGATAACAATACTGTATTGTGCATTTGAAAGTTGCTAAGAGTAAAGCTTTGAAGTTCTCATATCAAAAGAGAAAAAATGTTAACCATGTGTGGTGATGGATGTTAACTAAACTTGCTCTGGTAATCATTTTGCAATACATACCTACATCAAATCATGTTGTACACCTAAAACTAATACAACGTTATATGACAAGTAAATCAATTTTAAAAATAATAAATAAATAATAAATAAATAAAGTAGCTCATTGTCTTATCCACAATCTATCTTAAGTATGTATACCTGGTCTAAGATCATAATGGTATTAGTTCTGAATCTTCGGGTTTGAGCAACAAGCCATTTCCAAGTCAACCTTCAGCTGACTGGCTTTAGAAAGTCTTCGCTAGTCCTGAACAGAATCTGCCTAGGAGTTGGTCTTTTGACTTCTGAGTCACAGATGGTATATACGAAGAATGCTGGAGGATTATGTGTGAGACAGTAAAGAAATAGAAAAGGAGAAACAGAATAAAATGTAATTACATGGAGTTTTGCTTAAAACAAAAATGGATTGAGTTCTGCCCAAAGTAGCTTGTTGTTTCCTGTGCCAGGAACTACTGTGTGGCCCAGCAGGAAGTGTGCTACAGAGCAGGGTCACATTACACCCTTGTTTTATGGTTCATTTCACTTATTTAATGCAGTCTGAGAACCTGCAAAAGGAACATGTTAGAGGGAGGGAATAGGCTTTTTGTATTGTTTTGTTTTGTTTTTTTAAGTTTCTTTGAATCAAAACATTTGTTTTTACAAGGTGCTTATAGTCCCAGGGAAACAGGACTTCCAGGGTTGCACAGTGAAGACATTTCTCTTTGTCACAAAATTCAAAAAGACACAAAGTCAGGTTATGTCTAGGGTTGAGTTATGTCCATTTCCTTTGCTGTCCTACTCACATAATTTTAAACGTGAAGAATTACAGCCATGTCCAGGAACAGTCTAAGTCATCCTGAATCTATATGAGCTCCTCCTAAGGTCTCTAGTTTGATAGAGAGCCCATGATGTTGGGGGCAGCAGGGAGGAAAGGAATATATTTAAGATGCAAAATAGCGATTCATCTGTCAAGCAAAAGAATGAGTTCATATGGCTGTATTGCTTGAAAAATGCGTGAATTGAACAACTGGACTGCCTCGTGGTGGCGTAAGCCACTCTTCACACGCTGTCTGTTTTCCTCTCCAGAGACCTCAGTATGAACAACATCAGTCAGCTGCCCCCGAATCCCCAGCACAGCCTCCGCTTCCTAGAGGAGTTGTAAGTATCAGCGCCGTCACGATGCACCCAGTCAATGCTGGACACATTCTTGGGTTTGTCTCTCATACTTAACTGTAGGAACCAGATAAAACAAGGCAGGAAAGCTGTCAGCACCAACAATTTTGGCACATGAGGAAACACTTAGTTGGGAGGGGGGTGGGGGGGAAGAATTGCTTATGATTCTGGAAATCAACTTATAAAAGAGTTTACCATGAGGCTACAACTTTCGAAGGTGAGACTGAGCCAAACAAATTAAAATTTTAAAACAAAGGCTGTTTAAAAGAGCTGGATGGTTCTTTGGAAATAGTTAAGCAGCAGGATATTAAATGTTTGAATGCTGGTTCATGTTTATTAAAATAGCAAGTAAAGCTATAATCAAAACCAAAAACTGCCGCTTGCTTCGGCTTGTGACAGGGAGAATTGAGTCCACATTTCATAGCACCAAAACGTCTTGTCCTAATCATTTTTAATTCCTATTTTCCTACTTTTAATTTTAGCTTTCCTCAAGGCTTGAACAGAAAAATATGAAATCCAAAGAACTTACAACTGGGCTCTCCCAAACTCAATATAAAAAGTAAAATAATTTTAAAAGAAGGATGCTAAAATTAGCTCATGATTCACAAAGGAATCTTGATCATTAAGTCTAGCAATCACTTTCCAGAAGATGAAAAAAAAACGGTATAAGCCAAAAATCTGCATTTAAAAATTCATTCGATCCTTTTACCCTCTGGAGTGATGGGGACTGAGGAAGTGATGCGCAGTCGTCATCTTCACGAAGACAGTTTGGCACCATCAGTTGGCTAAATCCTCTGTTGATTAAAGGAATTGTTTGGGCCATGATCTCCTTTGAAAATACTTCCTCTATAAATCCCAAAGTCAGAGTCCAATTTGGGGAGTAATTTAAATTGTTGATGCACCACATGATCCACCATGGGAGGTGGAAAGAATGTTCCATCACAACCAAATTACCCTACATCAAGTTTTTTTTCAAGATTAGAGTCCCCAATTTCTCCCCTTTGGGGTATTATCTGTATTTTTTTATGACATTGTATTTTTAGGGGATGCTATTGTCTTATTACTGAAATCAATTGAATATTCCCAGATTGTTATCAAGAGGTATGGTGGGGAGGCTTAGCTTACCAGACTGTACAGCAAGTTTTTATCATTCAAGGACTAGGTTTTACTCTGTGTTGGGCCAGGCTCCTCTTCTTCCGTCTATTCTTCTCTCTCCGCCTATTGCTGTTGCTAAGAATGATACTTCATCAGGGCTGGAACCATGTCTGTCTCAGTCACGGCTGGTATGTAATCAATAACCAATAAATTTTTGAGGAATGAATAATGAGAAAGTAAAATGTATAAAAGGAGCCTTTTGTACAAGTTAGCTGCTTTAGAAAAATCAGCAGATTTTGTTGAAATTAGCCAATCTTTTTAAAGATTATTTTTAATAAGTTTCAATCCACATTTTTTCCTTATTTACATCCTCTTCATCCTCCCTCCTCCACCATAATTAATATTCAGTGCTTACTCCTGTTCGCCTCTATATTTCTATGGTATGCATTTTCTATGCTCTTCTCTTTAATTTCTTTGCACCACTCAATGGCAAAAGGCTTCTGTTCTACCTCAACGTACACCTCAAGTTTAGACCACAAACTGAATCAATAATTCACTTCCCCACTTCCCCGAGCACTTTGTTTAATAGAGTTCTTCTTCAGCGACCCAACTCATTCAAAATAACTTCTCTTTCTTCATGCAGTGAATGTTAATTCTGTTCTAAGGCCACTTTTTTACAAGATAATTGAGAAAAGTCAGACAAAAAAGAGAGAGGGAACTACCCTTTGAAAAAACTATTTTTCTGTGTTGTTTTATTTTTATATCCCTGGAAATTCCATCAAGTATTTTGACCATGGAATCATAGAATTTTAGAAATAGAGAAGACCCATTAAAGACTATTCATTCCATGTTCTCATTTTTTTCTGGAATTCCCTCTGCTGAGCTGGCCGACTTGCTGAATTTGGAAGCTGGACCACTTTCGCATATATAATTCTGTGTTGCATCTAACTGGTGCTTCGAAGACCTCATTATTCAATTAGTGACAAAAGGGTGTAGTATTTATAGAATCTGGGAAGATGATCAACTCTGCTTGGTTTATTCCTTTGTTACCAAGGCTAGATTTAGGGTATTTTGTGTGTATGTGTTTAAAAAAAAATGTTAGCAGAGCATCTTGATTATGCCTTTGATATGTTGCTGATTTCTAGACTCAGCTATGTTTAAGTCCATATTCTCTAAAATAATAGTATAAATACAATGATAACAATAAGAGCTTACTCTGTGCCAGGCACTGTTCAAAATGCTTTACACATACGATCCCACTGAAACCTCTTAATAGCCCCATAAAGGTAGATATTATTATTATTCCTAGCTAACAGATTAGAAAAAAAACAAAACTGAAGTAAAGAGAAAATAAGGAACTCACCCAAAATAATGGAGTTGGTAAGTATCAGAGCAAAGATTCAAACCCATTTTCAAAGCCACACACAGAAGGTAGAAGGAGCCTTAGGGATTGTACATGGTTCATCTGTGCTTTTCTTGCCCCGCAGTCTCTAGAACAGGTGAACACTGCAAGTATTGTTTAAACTGGGTCTCATAATAATAGGCATGTTCTATATCTATGTGTCTGTGTGTATTGTGGGGGAATGAAAAAGAGGGTGAGAGAGAGCTATATATCATCAGGGAGAGATTGGATACTCAGGTTATTTATGTACTACCATCATCTATTGGCTATGAGAAAGTCAGAATTTGGGGCATGAATTTCACCAGTTTAGCAGTGCTCAACAGGTACAAAACCTTAGTTAACATTTTTACAGCTACATACATACACATAAGTAGCATGTTTTATACAGTACTCTACCTGAACTAGCAAATGACCGATCGCACAGCTATAAACATTTACATTTCTGTTATTGTGTACATCTATCTTTTATTATGGACAATTAGAGCACTGTTCTAAAAGTATTTTTCACTCAGTTTGACTCATCTCTATGCTTTATCTCTTCATCCATGAAATAGAAAACTGTTATCAATAATATTAATAAAACTCCCACCACAAAACTCAATTTTTAAAAGTCACTATTCATAAAGCCAAGTTACCACTCTTCCACTTAGCTCTAATTACCCGAGATATCATTTCCCTGGTTTCATTCATTTAACTATGTTAAAAGCTATGTAGACATCTGTGGTGTATCCCTCTTCCATCCCTGGAGCTTAACAAAGGTGCCACAGTTCAAAATCCTCTAAGAATCCATAAAATCCTAAAGGCACTCACTGACTTAATATATATATATATATTATATATATATATATATAATATATATATATGTAATATATATATATTAATATTATTATCCTGAAAAAAGTGACTGGAGTAAATATTTAGCAAGAATAAAAGCCATCACAGTTCATGGCCTCCTCCCCTTCCTGACATTCTGGAATGCTTACTACTTGTGCCACATGTTCGGCCACATTCAGGTCCTATTTCTTTTTCATCATTTATTTTTTATAACTCTACAAAGTGACCAAATGCACACAGGCCAAACGTCCTATTGGTGCAATATGACAGTGCAAGGGAAAGGAGAGTTTTTTCTTTTGCAAAAAAAAAAACAAAACACAAACCAAAAACACTCATATCTGAGTGCTGGGAGACTCTGCCATGTACAGAGAGAAGAGGGCAGTGCCCAGCAGCAGAAGCCCAGCACTCTGTCCTGGCTCGGCTGCTTGCTAGTGATAACCCACTTGACCTCACTGGGCCTCAGGGGATAATGGCAGGAGCTGCCCAGCCTGTGTTTTGAGATGTTTCTGAGGGTCAAATGAAATGATGAGAGAATTCTGGTGAACAAGAATTTATATATTGAATTGTTTAAGTAAAATAAAAATACCTGCAAGAAGATTCCAACCTCCTTTCCTATTTTTGTGAGCTACATTTTGCAGTAATCCCAGGAATCTGGGACTTGTGAAGGAAGCTATTTCCAACCATGACCTCTAATGAACACAGACAATAGTTCTTTACTAAGTTTTAACATTCTGATCAATAATTGAGTCTCACTCCAACCAGTATCTCTCCCAGTTTTATTTATTCCATTCTACTAGAAACTTCATGTTGATGTTTGCTATATGAACAAATAAAAGACCCTACACTTGTCCATCAGTATGTGGTTCCGAGGTTAGGAGCTAAGGGCAGATTGTGCCTAATGCTGACATCTGCAAGCTCAGATTGAATTTACACTGGTAGTCTGATTAAACCAGAAAGGGAAATGAATTGTTACCATTTTAAATGGTCTAACTTAAAGGCCTTTATTTCCAAATAGTATTTTAAAATCTTCCCAGACTCTAATGCTATTGGAATCAAATACTCGATTTAGGAAGGAAACATGAGAATCTCTAGGGAGGTCTGTTTTTAAGTTACTATTGTTTCCTGGAACTGTTTGCTCATGTTGTGGTTGGCCTTGAAGAATCTCTGTATAAATAGTAGATATTTATTATTGCAGATGAAATGTGTAATGAGAAATACCACCAAACTTCCTGAAAGCACAATCTATGCTGTTACTTCTACTTCCTCATCATGCTGCTGAAAACAGTGAGAGCTGTCCTGCCTGTCTTTTGACATTTTCTTCCAAGGAGCAAATGAAACAATGATGAAAGAATTTTGGTGAACTATCATTCACATACTGGGTAGTATTAGTAACATGAAAACACCTCTGTGCCCATGAACAGTCTTCCTGCTCCTTGTCGCAGTGTTCAATCTCTTGTTTTCATAGATCTGACCAGTGATTATAAATGCTGCCTCTTTGAAACTTATTCTCTAATGAAATTTCATGATCGTTATCTTGGTTGTCTTGCAAATGTCTATCTATACAGCTAAATATAGACATTTAGATATCTGTCCTTGTATCTGTATGTCTGTATATATATATATAGGTGTGTGCATATATTTTGTTAAGACAGTT